GGTTGCACTGAGAGGCAAGAGTCCAGTCCTGCTCTCCGGGCCTTCGGTGGGGCTGCTAGGTGGGGACCACAGCCCCCTCTGGACCCTCCCCAGGTGCTCCTAAGGGCCTGGCCTGGTCTGTGCCACACCGCTCACCTTTGGGTTCTGCTCTGGCCTTTCCTGCCTGGGGACATAACAGGCCTCCCAGACTCTTGGGGTGGCTCCAGGCTGGAAGTCCTGCTCCGAGTGCCTGGCCAAGCCTACAGGTGGCCCTACCCCTTTGGGATTCTACTGTCTATTTTGAGAAACCAGCTAGGGGTTGGGGAGGGGGCTGGGACCGCCAAGAGCAGGTAGGTGGCCAGGACAGCAGAGCCCAGAGCCCACCCCCTCTCCTGCATTCTGGGCAGTCCCTCAATTGCAGGACAGGAGTGGCAGCCCTGAGTGTCCCCGAGCCTGACCTCCATCTGTCCCTGATTTGTGTCCCCTCCCTAAACCTCCCAGAGCCCAGTGTGGGGTTCTTCGTGACTGTGGCCGGAGGTTGCCCTGTCCCGCGTGCTCGCACCGCTGTCCCTCCAGCCACCACCCCAGACCTCGCCCCGTGGCTCTGCGCTGAGTGGGGCACCTCGCCTCCTTTATTATACATGTGTCGGGGCTGGCCTCCCCAGGAGATGCAGAGCTGGGCCCCACGCCACTCCCTTAGGAGCCATTCCCATAGGGACACCTGGGCTCCCACCCGCTCTGACCCAGGGCAGGGCCCAGCAGGCAGGACTGCTTCACACAGGAGAGCCAGGGCATCTGCGGGGGGACAGCGTGCCCCAGAGCTGGGGTTCGCGTGGCTCCCATTCATCTCACACCCAGGGGGACTCTGATGGAGCCCCGGAGGCAGGCTCAGCATGGGGGCTCCCGGCTGCAGAGGGTGGTTCTGACTCCCGTCTGGTCTCAGGACGCAGTTCGGAAGGAGTCTGAAGAGGCGAAAGAGGAGTTGGCTCTGCTCCACCAGGCCAGCCCCCGGCCGCTCCCAGCAGCCTCTGTGGAGGCTTCTGCCGGGGGCAAGCACACCCACCCCCCACCCGGAGGTGGGGTGGAGGCTGCCGCGGTGGCCAGCCACACTCACCACCAGCTGTGGACACAGGACGGCAGGGTGGACCCTTCCGGGGAGCAGGGTGAGGGTCGGGAGGCCAGAGGGGCAGGCCTCTGCCCAGCCGTCGAGTATAGTTGGTCTCCACGTCCTCCAGCCAGTCTGGCCTCCACTCCCACAGTGGCAGGGGGAGGCCAGGTGTCAGGAAGAGGTCATCCCGAGGGGAAGGGGGGGATGCTGGATCTGCAGGGAGGGCCAGGTGTCAGGTGATGCTGGCCGCCAGCCCTAGGGTCTGCTTAGAGCAGTGGCCCAGTCCAAACCAGCTCCGCTCAGCCGCCAGCCCTGTGGCCCCGGGCCCTCGTCCTGCTGTGCCCAGAGTGACCTTCCTTCCCATGTGTTTTTCTCAGGGCGAGGGGTCCATCCGACGGGTGTGGGGGTCACCGAGGGGCGTGGGGGCCTGAGCTGCCCCCTGCTGACCAGAGGCACCATCCCCTCTGCCCATTGCTCCCTGACTGCAGCTGTGGACAGGGGCCAGGGCAGGGCTTAGGGACACCGCAGGTGGGGAGAGGAGCGAGCTCCCAGCGGGAGGCAGAGGGACCCGTGAGAGGACAAAGGGGCTGGGGCCACCATCCTGACACCTCCTGGGGATGCATGGGGGCTGGGACGGCCGCAGGTGCACCCCGGCTCTGTGCTGGCTGGTCATGTCAGCTGCCCTCCCTGACCGCTGGCTTCCTTGGGGTGGGGTCATCTCCGGAGCGACGACTACCCTGCTAAGGTGTGGGAGGGTTTTCGCGAGGTGACACCTGGCACCTCTTGGAAAAATGCAGCCCTCTCAACGATAGCCACAAGGGACTAGGGAGAAGGGGGTCTCTCAGACCGGGGCGTGGACCACACACCTGTGAAGACACAGTCTGCCTCCCGGGGCTCCAGGCTGAGGCCAAAGGTGTCCGCTGCCTCGGCCAGGGCACGGGCAAAGTGGGCATCGGTGAGGAAGGAGCCGTCCGAGGAGCTGACCAGGCTGGCCCTGGCACTGGGGGCGTTGTCCTCAGAGACCGAGCCCCATCCGTTGGCCAGAGAGCCCTCGCTGGGGGTGGGGGTCGGGCAGGGCCGAGGCGGGCTCGGCAAGCCCCCCACGTCGGAGCCCACCCTGCCTGCAGCCCTGCCCACGCCTGCCAGCTCGGAGGCCGGGATGCCGATGTAGCCATAGGTGGAGGGGGGAGAGGGCGCCCTCGGCACAGGAGAGGCAGTGTTCCTGAGAGAGGGGACAGGGGATAGCACTGTGAGGGCGGGGGGCACATGCCAAGCAAGTGGGGTCCTGCTTCCTGGCTGCTCACCTGGGGGTCTCCTCACCCTCGCTGAGCTCCAGGCACAGGGCCACCTCCTCAGGGGTCAGCACGCTGTCCTGGTCTTCCCCCAGGGATGACAGCGATGAGCTAGACAGGCGACTGGATGCTGGGCTGGGACCAGAGAGGGGTGAGGCCCGGGAGCTGGGGGGCCCAGAGTGGCCATGGGCGGGGCTGGGAGCTGGGGGCTCCACCGTGGGCCTGAGTGGGGTGGGAGGGGGCAGCAGGGTCAGCACAGCCCCCAGCATGGTCTCCACACCCACCTCCCACCTGCTTCCCATCCCTGCCCTCTCACTGGCTCTGCTGGCTCTGCGTGGGTGCTCCGTGAGGAGAGAGGGGTGCTCCAGGGAGAGGGCGAGTAGGGGAGCCCAGCAGCTGGGGTCCCAGGGCCCTCCAGACAGTCAGACAGTGGGGCACAGCACCTGGGACATGGCATAGCACAGCCCTCAGCTCCAGAGCCTGCCGGCCCTGCCAGCACTGGGCAGGGACAACCAGGAGCAGGCGGGCCTGGTGACCCTGCGCCCTGTCTCCCCCACTCCCCCATGTCTCACCTGGGCGTGGAGAAAGACCTTGGGGACCTCCATTTCCCAGCTCCCAGGCCCAGAGCTCCATGGGGTGGCTGGCCGGGACCAGCGGGGAACTGTTGGCATGGTGCAGTGCTGCGAAGGGACCAGCAGGGGTGGCTGGAGCAAAGAGAAGACAGAGGAGCCCCTCCTTCCCTCCACGTCCCGGGAGCACTGGGCTGGTCGGGGGCCTGCCGTTGCAGTCGGCCCAGCTGTGCGGCCTCTGGAAGTCCCTGAGCCTGAGCCCCACTCACCTTCATAAATGCCACCTCACATTACGGTCTGACTGGGACATGAACAGGTTGCGAGGTTCTGGCTCCTAGCAGGTACTGCTTTTTTTTTTTTTTTTTTTTTTAAGAGATTTTTGCCTTAGGATGTATGTGCTTGTTAGAAAGAGAGAGACAGAGACAGTGAGAGGGAAAGTGAGAAATCACCCTCTGGGGGGATGACCATGCTGCCATTCCTCCTCTGGATTTTCAAGCCACCGGGTCCAGGACTCAAACCACAATTGGCCATGTGGGAGTCCAGTGATATAACCACTAGGCCATCTGCTGGTCCCCTAGGACTTTTGAAAGCCTCTTTCTTTTCCTTAGCAGCGCACACCCCATCCCTGCTTTCTGTCCGCACACCGCTGCCCTCCTCATGACTCCTGGCTCCGTGAAGACAGAGAACCCTTTTCTTGGAGAGAATCCATTAATTTCCAATTCTCTCATTGCAAATACCTCCTGAGAATACAGAATACAGCCCTGCCCTGGGAAACTGAATGTCCGTCATGGGAAAGAAAGGGAAAGGTCAGGCCTGGAAGAGGCGGCATCCATCCCAGCCTACGGCCTCGCCAGGAAGGGCCCTGGTAACAGGGGCCTCCCCACTCTGTGCTTGGGTTTAGTTTCGATGCCTCTTCAATAAACTATACCACAAAAAATGGCCCCTGGCATCATCCAGGCTCATGTGCATGCCCAGTTGCAGCAGGCCTGTGTCCACAACGGGTGACAGCAGCCCAGGGGACCTGGTGCCCGTCCGCCCGTCGGTGGGGCAGGCAGTTAAGTGCCAGTGAGGGGAGGGGCGGGCAGAGGACTGAAGATGCCGGTGGGTGGGGGAAAGGCCCGCTGGGGCAGATAGTGAGGAGGACCAGGCAGGTTGTGTGGTGAGGGGATTGACAGAGTCTGTGGCTCCAGGACAGAAGGGCGTCGGCCTTTCGGATGAGGCCATGTGCAGCCACCCCATGGCCTGGGCAGGGCCTTGGCATGGTCCCGAGTTGCTCAGGCCCTGGGGCTGGGGTAGGGCACGGCCATCTGCCCACCAGAGGGGTCCCTGCAGCCACATGCCCTGGGCTGTGGTGAGGTCCTTGTCCACCCAGAGCTGGCTGGCGTGGCCCTCACCCTGGGCAGCACCGTGTTCCAAGAGGGCGGTGTGTGCCCGGTCAGTGGTGTGCGGGGGCTGGCTGTCAGCCGGCTGTAGTCGGCATTTCGTCACACCAGGGTCTTGGCAAAGCTAGAAACGGTACGGGCTTCACTCGATTGGTCACAAAATTCTGGATGTTGAGCCAGTTAGGGCCTTCTCTCAGTCCCTTCATCCCAGAGCTAAAACCTGAACTGCACTGACTTCAAAGAGTGAGCTGGCTGCTGGACATTCGGGCGGTTTCGGCCATCAGAAGGTTCAGGAAGGTGGCAGGAAAGGCACAAGCCAGACACGGGAGAAAGGAGTCGGCCAGGAATTGGCTTCCCGGGAGCCCGGGGAGGTGTAGGGAGCTTTCAGGGCAGGCCATCCTGGCCTCGGACCTGAGTCTGCAGCTGCTTATTTTGGGGATTTTGAGAAATTGCCCCAACATCCTGACCTGTGTTCCCTCCCTGTGGATTAGGGAAATGACAGCTCACCTGTCCTGAAGAGGGGGGACTGAAATAGCATAAGCACGGGCAGGGCACCTGCTGCCTAGTGGCCACCGGGCAGCGGGGACCTAGTCGCCCCTCCTGGGAGGTCAAGCATCAGGGCAATGTGTCCAGGGAGGAGCTGCCTGCTCTTCTCAGAGGGGTGAGCCTGCAGTTGGTGCCAGCCTGTGCTCGGATCCCACGAGACAGCTCCAGAGCCCGCGGCTTTGCAGCACCTGAAGCTCTCGAACACAGCTCGGCACTCCGGGCAGACCCAGCCTCACAGGCAGGGCTGCAATTGTGTCTTGTGCTCCTGGGTCTGGCATGCAGTGGTGCTTAGTCTGTATTTGCCCCTTTGGGTCAAGTGCAGAAACAGCTCGAGCCAGAGACAGGGCGGAAATCTGAGCACTCTGGGGAGAGGCCGGCAAAGGCTGTGGGCTTCCTGGCAGTGGTGGCACTCCCGCTCCTGCTCCCACAGCGGCTTTGGGCTAGGGCCGTCCTCCCCGTCCTTACCCTGCTTCTTCTTGGCCTTCCAGGCCTCTGCAGGGGCCAGAGACAAGCGTGCAGAAGCCAGTCCCCTGCAGCCGTCTGGGCTGGGCCAGGGCCTTGGGTGGCGGGCCTGCTGGGGCTGGAGGCACCTGCTAGCTGGAGCCTGGGGGCTTGGCCAGGCTGGAGGGCTGGAGGGCAGCTCGGCAATTAGGGAGCCGTAGAAAGTGCTGGTGTCTGGGAGCAGCGGCACACCTGGGCTCCGGGGGCACCCCGAGATCACTGCAAACAGCCGGGAAGAGCCATGAGAGCTGCCTCCCAGGCTCCGCCCACCCCTGGGGTCCTGCCCCCCAGGCTGAGGTGCCACTGGGTATGCTCACGAGAGCAACGGCTGTCCAGCTGGTCCCGGGGGTCGACTCCCAGCCGGCTGCTGAGGCTGCTGCTGCTACTCAGGTCCCGGGAGCCTGAGGTGGATCGCCAAGTGTCTGCCAGCCAGGGGGAGTCGCTGTGGTCTGTCCTGGGTGGCCGAGGACCAGGCAGGGGAGAAGCAGAGGGGACAGTTGGCTGAGACCTTAGCTCAGAGGGGAACGCAGGGTAGGGATGGGGCTTACTCTGACCACCTTCTCAGCCTCGCTTTGCTCCCTAGCAGCTAGAACCATGCCCCAGCCTCAGCTCCGTGTTCCACCCCAGGTCGGGGTTCCACGAGGCCCAGAGCTGGGAGAGGGAATTAACGCACTGGTTATGTGTTACACGTGAAGGGGCTTTAGGAAGTCCAGGGGAGACGGAATTACAGCATTGGTCTAATTGGTGCAAAAAGCTGGGACCATGCGAGTTCTCCCTGATTCCCGTCTCCATGAGCTCTTGGAAGGCTCTTTGCATGTGGAGGGAACGGCAGGAGCAGACGACCCTGGCATGGAAGTCCCTGTCTGCCCCAGCTCCATGTGAGCCCTGGCAGGTAAACCCCACTTCTGCTGCTGCAGTGTGGCAGCAGGGGCCTTCCACGGAGGCTGACACGGTGTAAGTGAACAGCGCATCGCCCGGCCGCTGAGCAAGCGTATGCTGCAGTGTTGGCGGAGGCTGTGGACGGAGGCCTTCGTCTGCCTACAGCCATCCCTGGCTCTCCCTGGCAAGCTGCCTCACTGCTAACGAGCTTGGTGGTCCCGCCCTCCACCCTGCCCCTGCTCCAGCCAGGCCAGTGTCTGTCCCAGGCAGGCAGCAGGCTCTTTCTGCCGGCTGGCCGCCCTTACCCTTCTCTTGTCGGGCGAATGTGCAAGCGTCCTTCTCCTAGTCTCCTCACTCTACCCACCACCGTGCGCTGCCACACCTGGTTGCCCTTGCACACTCACAGCCCGTCCCTGCCCGGACCACAGGCTCCTAGCGGGACGGACCAACGGCCAGGACAAACGCCCCCTCCAGGACAAGAAAGGGCTTGGGCAGGGCAGGCTCAGGGCAGAGCCGCACAGCCCTGGAGGGGCCCAGGAGAGAGCCGTGAGCCGAGGGCCAGGCACTCAGCACTGGCCAGCAGGCTCTCACTCTGGGCTAAGACTCTGACAGCACAAGCCTGGCTGGGCGCGTAGTAGGTCTGATGACCTCTGCCGAGGACAGGGGTGGGGCAGACAGCAAGGAGCAGGCAGGGCCAGACTGTAAGGCAGGAGAGGTGTGTTCACCCTCAGTGTGCCACAGCAACCCACGCCCAAGCACGCTGGGGCAGAGGCCCCGCACTGGGCCCCCTCTGTGTGGGGTGCGGGCCTGGCACAGCCCACACACTCGCTGGAGCCGTGGTGAGCTGGGGCAGGCGGCTGGTGTGCAGTCAGAGCGGGCGCCTGCCATCACCTGCCAGGTGCTCTCCACCGGCAGAGGGGCAGCAGGGGGCGGTGGAGGTGGGGCGGGGTGGGAGACGGCACTAGCTGGTTGGAGGGCCGTGTGCGCTGTGGGCCTTGGCCACGTCGCCTGTGTTTCCTGTGTCTCCTCTCCCCCACCCCCCAGTGCAGGGACACTCACGGAAAGGAAACCGGAACCACCAGGACACCGGCTGGCAGGACCCATCGCTGTCCCAGCTGCCCTGTCCCAGCCCGCCGGAGGCCCTCTCCCCCTCACCTATGCTTCAGGATGGCGTCCTCGCTCGTGTACCTGTACAGACCTGCAGAAGGACAGGGAAGGCCATGCCGGAGGCTTCCCCTCTGGCCAGAGACCTCAGGCCCCGCGGTGCTCCGGCTGGACCTAGGAAGGCCTGGCCACCGGGCCGCCCTCTCACCTGGGCCTAGGGGCATCCCAGCCCGACGCCGGCGGTGAACACACACTGCAATGCCCAGCAGGAGTAGCCAGAGCAGGACGCCCCCGCTGGCAATGACCTCTGGCCGCCGCAGGGTGGCCTCCAGTGGCTCCAGGGCCCAGGGGCTGTGCTCGCCAGGCTCTTGGGGGGCTCGTTCCATGGCCTCCTCTGTGGGAACATACAGTCTGAGGATGGCAGCGAGGCCACGAGGGCCAGGTGACAAGGAGGAACTGGGCGGGGGAGGCGGGGCTGGGAGGTGGAAGGTGGCCAGGATCCCTCTCACCTACAAGGAGGCAGACGGGGCCGCTGGGCTCCCCGGCCCCTGCACCCGTGACTGCGGCCACCTGCACGCAGTACGAGCCTGGCGAGGGGGCGGCCATCTCCAGCTGCGTCTGCGGGCCCACCACCGTCCAGTTGGCTGGGGGCGAGGAGCTGTTGCCCAGGCTCCAGACCTAGGGCACAGGCTCAGGTGAGCGGCCCCAGGCACTGTCACCGTGTGCCCTGCCATGGCTGCGCCCAGCTCGCACCCACACGCCGGCCCCTCTCCTATTCCAGGCAGGAGGGACTTCTTGCCAGCCTGGCTGAGGAGGCGCAGGACCAGTCGGCTGGCATGTTAGCACGGCCCTCACAGCCCAGCAGGCTTCAGAGCTGCCCGCAGGGCTGGCTGGGCAGGCGGGCACCTGCCTCCCTGAGCTGCCCCGCCTCTGCGGCTTTTTTTGGGGGGCACCCCACGCCCCCGGG